TATATAAAATATACTACTTACTACTTGTACTACTATTTCTACTTGGTGGTTTTTCACTGATCGCGGGGCCTCAGGGTACAGATTCCCCACGATAAACGAGGAACTGATGTGATTGTGGAACATTTCAAATTGAAAGATAAACTGTGGGAGAGAAGTGCTGGTGAGAACTCCCCGTCAGCGCACCTCACACACAAACAGAAACAACGCAGCAAAGGTTCATTTGGCAGAGTGGGTCAGCTGGTGACGAACCAGCTGGAGGAGGAAGAGCTGGTACTTCGGTTGTTTACCGAGGTGAAGTGCTGTTTTTGAAATGGAAGAGAACGCCACCATTTCTGACAGATGGTGTGGGAACGTGTCCCTCTGCTGTCTTCCCTCCGGTCAGCGCAGCTGCCTGTCTCAGTGCCGTCTCCTCTGTGGACAATAACTGTCCAGTCTGTTTTCACAACTTCTCTGACTTATTTGATTATCTTTATAAGTTTTGTAGGAACAGTTGTAAAGACGGTAGTTTTTTTCTAACGGCCTCGGCCAGCTGATACTCAGCGAAGCAGCTAAAGTCAAATGAAAGCAGTAAACTGCAGCCACTTTTCCACATAAATATAAATTATTTGACTTCTTTGTCCTGTTGACATCAACTCACCAAGAAACCAAGAGAATTCAATTCAATTCAATTCAAAAATACTTTATTAATCCCAAAGGGAAATTATTTGTTGTAACTCGTTATTCTCATTTCATTAAGAGATGTTATAGATACTGATGGCTGTAGGCAGGAAGGATCTCTTGTAAAGGTCCATCCCACAGTGGATCCTAAGAAACTGGCTGCAGATGCCGTCCGATCCGTCCACCCAGACTCAGCTGGCCTCTCGGTTCCCCCGGGCTGTAGGACCGCCTCAATGCTGGACAGAACTCCTCCCAGTGCGATGGCCACTCCTCCCAGCAGCTGCTGAGGTCCTCGTCACTGCGGACAGCCAACTGTAGGTGCCGAGGGACGATCCTGTCCTTCCTCTGTCATGAGCCGTGTTTCCTGCTAGTTCCAGGATCTCAGTGGTCAGGCACTCTAGCACAGCTGGCAGGTAGATGAGAATGCATCCACAGAACATCCTTTTCAACTCATTTGAGATTTGGGGCTGTAGTTGAGATATTATTTGAGCTTTTGAGATGTTAATCAGCTGCTGTTGGTTGTAGAAAACAGCCTTGTTGCCATGGTTACGCATCATAACAAATGTCTAAAACTACAAAAGTTTCAGTAAAAATCCTTCCGGCTGCTCAGCATCTGATACTAGAGGAAACAATCATCCAAAAAATGTGATTTACATCCAGAAAAAGAGGAATTAAAGTTTCCAAAAGCAAAATCTCAGAATGAAAGTAACAGAGCTGCTCCAACATGCAGCCACCTGGAGCGGCGCACTTCTGGAAGCTGCTGCTGGAGTTAAATAAATAAATAAATAAACAGTGTAATATGTCGTCTTTTGTTCTTTTTCTGAAGTTGCATTTACCTCATTTTAGGTAGTTAGTTTTTTTTATTTATTATATCCTGACGTAAAAATACCAGATTTAAAAGAAGCTGCAGTGTCTGTTTGAATCAAAGCTGTTTAGATGTTCCATCACGTCTTATAGTGTGTAAAGTTAGACGACAGTTCCAGCTTTCAAAGAAGTACTTCACTAATCCCACTGATTTAACACAAGTCCAACTGATCGGCCGACACTTATTATTAGTTTGCTTTACAATCAGGGCACAGTGTGTTCCTGTGCGTCACCTCAGTGAACGACAGAAACACACAGAACCCGCTTCGTTTCACAACTTCATCTTTATCTTGTTTCCTTTTCTCTCATTTTACACTTTCTTTTAAAGCAACCAAATGAAACCTTCTCTAAGGCTGCTCCTCTACCTTCTCTCTTCCATACTGCCACGTTATCCCGAATCTTCAGGAAGAACGTGAACACACAGACGAACTTCTACCTGTGGCACACAATAATAAATTAGTGACTGGATGGAGTTTAGAAGCACTGCAGCCTCACCGTTGTTCTCGGTGTCTGAGCCGGACGACCTGCTCTGCCGCAGGGGGTACTTTTTCGCTGAGGTGTTTGTCGCCCCCTGCTGGCTGCGAGTGACCCTGCGCCCGGAGGAGAAGACTGACGCTGCCACTGCAGGAGTGGACTCTGCAGGTGAATCCAGGCCTTCATCAGGACCCCCAGCAGCAGGAGAGCTGCAGTTTTCTACAAAAAGGAAGAAAATGCATCTGAGACTCTCATCCACTGATTTTATTTCTCTAAAAATATAAAACTGAAAAGTATTCCACGTAAATGTTGTAACTCTCCCAAAGTGAAGCTCAGTCTTCTGCTGCAGTTACTAAATCAAGTCTCTTCAGGTCATAGCTCGGTCCATCGATTAAAAACACAAACAAATAAACCACTAAATGGATATTTAGTTAACTCCCCAGTTACTTATTAATGAGAACATGAAGCTTGAAGAAAAGAACGAAGTCACTCTTCTAAACAGCTCCTGGTTAATAATCACTTCAGCAGTTTTAATCCCTGCGCGTCCTCGAGCGGTGGAAGGAATACTTCTGGGACCTTCTCAGTCCCACCAACACATCTTCCATGAAGGAAACTGAGTCAGAGAACATGGGGGGAGGGTAACGGGCTGAGGTTGCTGAAGTAGTTAAAAAGCTTCATGGCTCTGGGGTGGATGAGACCCACCCCGAGTTCCTCAAGGCTCTGGATGTTGCTGGGCTGTACTGGCTGAGGTGCCTTTACAACATTGAATGGCCAAGATGGGGTAGAGGCAGGGCAGCAGAGTTGGGACCCGAAAGTCCCAGTTTCGATCCTCAGCCATTCCCACATGTCGTGGTGTCATCTAATCCCTAACTGCTCCCTGGGCACCTACACATCTACCCACTGCTCCACCTGGGTGCATCTCAGGTGAGATGGGTTAAATGCATTGTATGGAAACATACAATGATGACAACACATAGCACTTTAATACATTGGGGGCATAACCACTGGAGCGGCAGACTGGGGTGGTTGTCTCCCTCTTCAAAAAGGGAGATCAAGGGTGTGCTCCTATTGCAGGGGCATCGCTCTCCTTAGCCTCTCCAGAAAGATTTGTTCAGGAGGGCTGGAGAAGAGTCTGGTTGATGATCGAACCTGAGATTCAGGAGGAACAACGTGGACTCCGTCCTGGATGTGGAACACTGGACCAGCTCTTTACCCTCACTAGTGTTTGCCCAACAGGTGTGTCAGTGAGGCCAGGACCACCACCAAGGACAAAACACGTCCCACTCATAGTCCGTTTGCTCTCCTACCTTCAGAGGAGCGACTGGACCAGTCGCTTTAATCTAAACAGAAACATATTCACAGAGTGCAACATATTTCTATACAGATGTTATCTGTACAGTTGTATCTGGTTTGTTCTGAGCAATGACCTTTTAAATGTTTTATAGCTTTTAATCTCTCCTTTGAGCCATTTGGTATTTTATTCTAGTGTGTGTTGTGTTCTGTTTATTTAACGATGCACTGGTTTTCACTGACACAACTTTTAATTTCACTGAGCTGTAGAAGAGAAATGCAAAGTAGCTTCAGCTCCTCTTGGGATGTTCTTTTTTTTATCTTGGTCAAAAATGACATGAACCTGAGTGATATATTTAAAGTACAAGTAAAAAAAACGAACGTAAACATTTTTTAGCAGTTATCCTTTCCAAAACTTTTCAACATGCAAACGGTCTCTGGTTGGAGGACTTCTGCTCGAACCACTCAGCCACATAACAGTGGGGATTTTTGGGGGGAGTACCTTGCGAGCTGTGGTTGAGGCGCAGGGACGAACGAGTGAGGCGTGCACTGCTGCGTCTGTGCAGGTTCTCGGCAGCTTCGGCGTGTTCCAGGTCAGCAGAAAAATCAGAGTCCTCTGTCCCGTCCGAGCTGCTGCCTGCAGTCCTCTGGAGAGCAACAACAGTCACTAACAAGCACTGTGCTTATTTTAGGTGTCTACACGTCACATATGTTACTTTCTGGAACCAACAGATGTATTTGCATTCTCATTTTAAAACACTAATTATTTAACAATATTTTTAGTTACTTCCCTTCACCTCTGGCCTGATGAGGCTAATTGCTAACACCACTGAAACAGCTGGGCTGCACATACACAAGTATCCAAACTATGACCTGTAACTGTTTTACACAGGGAATCAATGAGCATCTCCACTCATGACATCACACATATGATTTGCATAGAGAATCTACTGCCCCCTCTCACACTAACCCGGATGTCCGTACAACATGGCTGCAACACAGAGATCCAGTTGTATAACTTATCAGAAAAAAACGTTCCCAGCGTGAAGTTGGACACGTCCGGCTTCAGTAAATACACGGACGTTCAGCTGAAACGTTGTCTGGAGTAGTTGTCTAAAATAGCATGAGTAGAGCGTGCCATTGGGAGGGGGAAGGGGGGTCATCCTCCACCAAAGAGATCTAATTTATGCTGGGTGGGGTATAAGGGTGGTTCAAACTATCATTTGAGCTCACAAATAATACAAATGTCAGAGCTCATCCTATTAAATATGACTTAAGATGCATTATTGAGTAATTCTAATTTAATCATGTGCATGTTTCTCTGCATTTTATATGCTAGGGTGTTGGGGCTATTCAACTAAACTGCTCAGAGGACGAGTTACTGAAAGCCAAGACTCAGGGGACGGACATCCAGCAGTTATTCTCATTAAGTTTGTTTTATGATTTAAAATCTAGTTTTATTTTAAAATGCTGTGAACAGATTATGTTTTAAGATCATAATAATTTATTCTAAGTGTTTTCACTCATGAAATCCAGTAACAGTACCTATTTTGTACCTACTCCTCTGCAGCTTTTTTCTGGCTATATTTAAATTTGAAAAGCCAAAACTCAAAATTGCTAACACCATTCATTAAGCAGTAAATAAAACGTTTTTTAAGATAATAAAAAATAAAAAGATTAGGTTAAATCAACTCCTCCGATGCAGTTGTGAGCAGAAATACATTAATGTGTGAGCGAATGTAGAAATCTGAACAATCACGCTTGACAGTGTGCGACCGTTTGACAAGTTCATAACAAGAGGCTGCGGTTTTAATTTGCATACCACCAATCAAATTAAAGAGGAGGCGGGACTTAAATTAGACGAGCCAATGAACGCAGCGCAAGTTTTGTTTCTGTCCAATCACAGGGGATGTTTTGGTGCAGACTCGAGTTCCATGCACTCAAAAAAAGAGCAGCCAGTTTCATCGTTAGCTAAAGCGGCCGTTATTTACGTTAAACAGGGACATCCTTCCCTTTTCCTTTCAGGCGGTGGCTATCCGGACTAAACTAACACAAAGCAGTGCATTCAAAAGGACCAAGAAACATATTGGAGACGACATTATTTTCTCACAACTATAAAATAACATAAGCTACTTTAGCTTAGCTAAACAAACCGACAGCAACAATGTGTCATTTAATTATTAGAAATATATATAATTTTGTAACATTAAACAAAACATTTAAATGTTTATGCCCTTTTGTTAGACTCCTCAGAGTTCAATTTGTATCTGTACATTTGCTCATATTAGCGATGACGTTGTGTTTGTTTCAGCCTCGAACAAACGTTTGTCTTACCTTTCTCCGTGGCATTTTAAAGAATACGATCCTGTACTTTGGGGAACAATTTATTTATGGTTACATATGTTTTGTAACCAAAACAAATCACCCGAGGGGACCATATAACAACACAACTGAAAGACGCGGACTAATTTCTCGATACTTCCTCCATCTCCTCTGTCGTTTTATTGCTGGTACGTCACCAAAATACTTCCGTGCAGAAATGTTCACTGTGGGTTCAGGTAGGGGTCCCGGTAAACTCGTACTTCAGTTTCAACGTTCTGCTATACATAATAGGTATTTAAAACTAATTAAAAAATACCTAAATTTCCTGTTTTGAAAATTAATTCAATTCAGTTTATTTATATAGTGCCAAATCACAACAAAATAATCTCAGGGCACTTTACAGGAACATTCACATAGCCAAGCCAAGTGAAGGACCAGAAGACTTGTTGAATCTTCACTTCGTCTCAGTCTCCCATCCTGAGCAAGCACAATGGCAAGAGTGGAAAGGAAAAAACTCCCTTTAAACAGGAACAAACCTAAAGAATAACCAGGACAAACAGCCATCTAAGGAGAGACAAACGAACACAGAGTGGCAGGTCCAGATGTGCAGTTGTACCTGAAAGACAAAAACACATCAAGGATAGAAAAAATAATTACAAATACAAAACAGGTTGAGCAGAGTAAGTAAAGACAGTAGTAAAGTGAAGAAATATGGTCAGTTTGTCCTCCAACAGTCTAAACCTATAGCAGCATAAAAGGATAGCTCAGGAAACCCAAGCCAACCCTAACTATAGGATTTATCAAAAAGGAAAGTCTTAACCCCAGTCTTAAAACTGGACAATGTGTCAGACTCATGAACAGAAACTGGAAGTTGGTTCCACAAGAAAGGAGCCTGATAACTGAAAGATCTGCCTATAAATTTGTTTTTGGAAGCTCTTATAACTACAACTACTATAAACTAAATTAACAACCTAAACGTTACATTTTGGAAGAGCTGTTCAAATTTGACCTTTCACTCTTCGTTGTGCTGAAGAAAGCGTCCCTGACATCATGAGGTGCACTGTAAGACATTCACGATGCTTCCAAACACCTGGGAAAGAAACCAAGTGAAAACATTAAGTTTTGAACGGAGAGAGGACTAAAGATCACGGATCAAGTACTAGCCATCCCTAAAATGTATAAGGAGCTGCTAAAATATTAATTAACTGCAATATTTTAGGCAACGTAAACATACTTTTCACTGTAATGTGGATGAGAATTTTAAGGAACAAGTTTTAATTTTTTCTGATGAATCAAAGGACTTAGGGAAAACAGTGTCTGTCTTCGTACAAGGCTGGAGTGTGATTATTTGAAAGAACATCCAAATTTTAAAATGTAGGCTACAGTAGAATTTGTTATTTTGATGGCTATAAAGAGGAGAACGCAAGTTTTAGCATGCAAAGTGTGCAGTGACTGTGTCACTAGTTAAAAGTATAAGGAATGTTTATACAGTAGTTTGAAGCCAACAAGATTGTATGCAATAAGAGGAGAGAAGGTATACTGAGGTATTTAAAGGTGTAAGGCAGCTCATGTAGGAATTCTTAATAATGAGAAGGTGGATTCATAAACAAAAAGTTGTTAAAAGAAGGTATTTAGATGTGCATACACACAGTGCCTTGCGAAAGTATTCGGCCTCCTTGAACTTTTCAACCTTTTGCCACATTTCAGGCTTCAAACATAAAGATATACAATTTATATTTTTTGTGAAGAATCACCAAGTGGGACACAATCGTGAAGTGGAATGAAATTTATTGGATGCATCAAACTTTTTTAACAAATAAAAAACTGAAAAGGGGCGTGCAATATTATTCGGCCCCTTTACTTTCAGTGCAGCAAACTCACTCAAGTTTTTCAGTGAGGATCTATGAATGATCCAATGTTGTCCCAAATGACTGATGATGATAAATAGAATCCACCTGTGTGTAATCAAGTCTCTGTATAAATGCACCTGCTCTGTGATAGTCTAAGGGTTCTGTTCAAAGTGCAGAGAGCATCATGAAGACCAAGGAACACACCAGGCAGGTCTGAGATACTGTTGTGGAGAAGTTTAAAGCCAGATTTGGATACAAAAAGATTTCCCAAGCTTTAAACATCCCAAGGAGCACTGTGCAAGTGATCATATTGAAATGGAAGGAGTATCAGACCACTGCAAATCTACCAAGACCCGGCCGTCCCTCTAAACTTTCATCTGGAACAAGGAGAAGACCGATCAGAGATGCAGCCAAGAGGCCCATGATCACTCTGGATGAACTGCAGAGATCTACAGCTGAGGTGGGAGAGTCTGTCCATAGGACAACAATCAGTCATACACTGCACAAATCTGGTCTTTATGGAAGAGTGGCAAGAAGAAAGCCATTTCTCAAAGATATCCATAAAAAGTGTTTAAAGTTTGTCACAAGCACCTGGGAGACACCAAACATGTGGAAGAAGGTGCTCTGGTCACATGAAACCAAAATCCAACTGTTTGGCCACAATGCAAAACGATATGTTTGGCGTAAAAGCAACACAGTTCATCACCCTGAACACACCATCCCCACTGTCAAACATGGTGGTGGCAGCATCATGGTTTGGGCCTGCTTTTCATCAGCAGGGACAGGGAAGATGGTCAGAATTGATGGGAAGATGGATGGGGCCAAATACAGGACCATTCTGGAAGAAAACCTGTTTGAGTCTGCAAGAGACCTGAGACTGGGATGGAGATTTATCTTCCAACAAGACAATGATCCAAAACATAAAGACACATCTACAATGGAATGGTTCACAAATAAACGTATCCAGGTGTTGGAACGGCCAAGTCAAAGTCCAGACCTGAATCCAATCGAGAATCTGTTGAAAGAGCTGAAGACTGCTGTTCACAAACGCTCTCCATCCAACCTCACTGAGCTCGAGCTGTTCTGCAGGAAGAATGGGCAAAAAGTTCAGTGTCTCCATGTTCAACACTGATAGAGACAAACCCCAAGAGACTTGCAGCTGGAACTGAAGCAAAAGGCGGCGCTGCAAAGTATTAATGCAAGGGGGCCCAATAATATTGCACGCCCCACTTTTCAGTTTTTTATTTGTTAAAAAAGTTTGACACATCCAATAAATTTCATTCCACTTCACGATTGTGTCCCACTTGTTGTTGATTCTTCACAAAAAATAAAATTTTATATCTTTATGTTTGAAGCCTGAAATGTGGCAAAAGGTTGAAAAGTTCAAGGGGGCCGAATACTTTCGCAAGGCACTGTATCTTTCTAAAACTTGAAGGGATACGATTTATCTGGAAGGGATGAATTTCAGAGTGGTAAAAATATTGGAGGTTTGAGACTAAGTAAAGGCAGTTTTTAATAAGTCAAGTAAATATATTGGTTACAACTAATGAGATGAACAGAAGAACAAAGAACAATAGTCTGGACACAAAATCCAAATGACTGTGAGCAGCCACAAACGGTACAGCATGGTTTAATGATATGCAGAAAGTGGGGAGTTGTGTGAAGAAATGAGACATTTTTTAAGACTTTGGACACAAGAGGAATACATTAATACATTTCATTAAAATTATATATTTTAAATATTTTTTATTTAATTTAATAGGTGGATGGAAATATGATACAATCCAGAAAATTGCAGCACTGCAACTAAAAGAATGCCGACTGCTGCTAAAACCTACAGAAGAAGAAGAAAAAGTCACAACTGACATGGTGATCTTTTTCCGGCACAACACCGGAAGTAAGAAGCGAGATCGCTCTTGGGCTGCAGGGTTCTTAGCATAACCGAAGCTAGCACGCTGTATTTGACGTGGGGCGACAGCACCGTTTTTTGACTCATTTTGTAAAAACTCCAACTCTTGCGCTTATCACTTCACAAACGTCAGAATAAAAAAGGTTCACTCTGAAATTCCCCGTGAAGCTAACAAGGACATTTTCCTCCTGACTGAGTGTCCAGTAGTATGGCCGGGAGCACCAGCAAGACTGTGCACGAAATCTTTCACAGCATGGAGTACGGACCTGCCTCCGCCTCTAGCACCGCCACTGCTCAGGTGAAGTTCTTTGTCATTTGATAATCATCTTTAAAACATTTTGTAGTTGTAACAAACAACAACAACAAAAAGGCACTTCTTAGCAGCTTAATTCCACTCCAGTGTGAAGAATGTAATTTCATTAGGAGTGAAGCGCAACTCATCATGTGACCGGTCTGTGCTGAAGGAGCCCCTCATTAAATTAAAAATATTTTTCATTGAAAGTCATACTAAAACTAACTATTTAAACGCTTTAGTTTGACAACGTGTGGAATTCTGATAATTGAACAACAAACCTGATTTAATATTGTTTAAAATTTAATTTAAAATCTAAATTTAAAATCTTTTTATTCAGGCAGGGTTTTAATACCTAGCGGCACAATGTGCAGTTTTGTTGTGATTTTTTTTTAAATTGACTTTAACTTTTGTATTTTGAAGCACTTTGTGCACCTTTTGGCTGTTGTAAAGCACTCTATAAATAAATAAATGTTGATTGACTGATCTTCTACATGGGTAGGTTCCCAAAGTTTTCACTTTCTGACCCCAAAAAATGTGTTTGAGAGCTTTTTGAGCCCAACTCACTGAAGTAAAACAACACAAGCCAAACAAATAAGAGTATAAATGTTAAACTGTCTTAACAGCCATTTAATAATAAAAAAAATCTCTTAATTACTATATTTTATCTCTTGCAACATATCCTTTATCATTTATACTTAAATATTTTTCTGTGTATCCAAGTATGTCTGCTTGGTGTGTTACCACAACTGTAATTTTAAATGGTAAAAATTGGTTGAATATTTTTATTAACTAAAGCTTGAGCTATGTCAGTTTTTTCCCTTTGTATTTGTTATTGTCACAGATAAATGTGCATGTTTGTTTTGTTCCAACAGGCACATATGTAGAATTCACTCTGTATTATTAGTTTAAATATTTATAAATAGGTATGTTGATTTTGGCGACTTTTAGGTCTTATAGGGAAGTACCGGTACACAAAAATACTAATATTACTGAAGTTTCAGTTTTTTAAATAAGTGGCTAATATAAAGCTGAATTGCTTAAATAGTCGCTCTATAAGAGAAACTAGCCCAAATCGTGTGGTTTTGAGAGGCAGAGCTCTGTACTTTGGTCTTAGTAAATAATTGATGCAGTAACCAGCCAAACAGAAGCAGCATCTTCCTCACTAATAAAATCTGAGCCTGAAAATAAACCTGAAGATTTCAGAAGACACGTTTAAGAGCGTCAGTGCAAAAACATCCAGCATCCATCAGCTTTTTTCTTCAAAGTCCAAAAGGGGTGATTCAAAGTTCTCATTTTCACAAGTGTACAAATTGTACAGAGGGGGGGCAATGTTGACCTTTTTTTTAAAAAAAAAAAATACTCCCTGTATGACCAACATGTTGCTATTCTCCCACATGACAAATGACCAGTCTTGAAATGACCACACAGGCCAGTTCTCCTTCTAGAGGTTCAGAAATCACAGATGAAGCAGCGTCAAGCTCAAATGTGAGCTTCCAGAAATGAAGCAGGCGGAGCAGGATGTTTTACCGCCAGCAGCCCTTCCTCATGCAACCTGCGCTCAAACCTGCATCCTCAGGACTACAAGGTTGCAACACTGACCGCCAAGCTACCACGGCCCCTAATAACTTTTTAAAGCCCAAATATTCCAGAAAAAACAAAACGACTGGAAGACCGTGCAGCTCCTACTAACTCATTTCTGTACGAGCTAACGTTAATTATCAACTGAAATTTAGTCCATGGGATCTTATTTAAACAGACGTACAGATCACTGTACAAACAGCATTAGGAAAGGGGGCAAAGTGACACTAGCTTTACTACGTAAAATGTTTTTATCAGCAGTTTCACGTCGCAACTCTGGGGCAATGCTGCTGCTGTGGAAAGAAGCTCTGCATCAGGGCTGCACAATGTACTGGAAATGTATTATTGCTGTATCAGTGGGTGTAATACCATTATCTCAAAGAGCTGATGCATCACAGGCATTTATATTTGAAGTACCTGCATTGATATTCTTATATATTAGGTCAATCTGACAGACTCGCTGGTCTTGATGTCCATACCTGGATTAGATGACAGAAGAGAAAGTGAAGATTGAGGAAAATTTGTGTTTATCACAACAGATATCGTCATTTCAATATTAAACAATAATATTGTACATTATAAGTTTTTTTCTAATATTGAGCAACCCTTTTCTGCATAATTTTTAATCAGCATGAGGTTTTCGAGGGAATCCCTGGAAATTTTTCTCCCCTGTAAGGGGACTCCCCAGACCCAACAGTTTGAGAACCCCTGCATTAGAGAACACTAGTTATATTCTGACTAAGCACATGCACACAGTATACTCCTCTTTACCTGAAAATTTCTGAGAAGTAACAGGTACACAGGGAAAAACCCTCAGATGTGTGTCTTGATGCATGCTCAATAATCCAGGTAGATTATTATTATTACTTTATTTTACCAGGAAGAAATCCATTGAGATCATCAATCTCTTTTACAGAGATGTCCTGGAAGGTACGATACATCAGGTCCTCTGGACCACCTTCTCCATATGAGAAGGTGCCATTTATAAAAGTGTTTTTCGAAGCGGGGGCGAGGGGGCACCAGGGGGCCTCAGAAAGCTGGAGAGAAGATTTAAAAAAAAGCAAAAATAAAAAAAATATATTTTATTTATTTATTTATTTATTTATTTTAATTACTGTAATAAAATCAAATCTATTTTTCCAATAAGTATTTTAAAATATATTTTATAATAATCTATATAAATATTTATCACCATGCTCATCTTTCTGATTGGCTGCCAGTCATAGCCATGCTTCAAGTTCCTGATGACAAAACCACACTAGGGTGTGAGACCAGCTGTGCCATGAATACACTGCTACCACAATGATAAACTTCACTTCAGAAGCTTGTTTGCAATCAAGGACCTGTCATAACAAAGACCCCGTCTGTTCTTAATACACGCCTAAAGACCACACCAAGACCCTCCGAAGACCAGCCATCATCATATCAACTCTCACCAAGTCAACTTTCACCACGTAAACTGTCACCACGTCAACTTTCACCACATTTTCTTTCACCAAGTCATCTTTCACCGCATCAACTTTCATATCATCAACTTTCACCACGTCATCTGTCATCACGTCAACTTTCACCACGTCATCTGTCATCACGTCAACTTTCACCACGTAATCTTTCACCACATCAACTTTCATATCATCAACTGTCACCACGTCAACT